TCAACCGTGAGCTGCTCTACTCACAAAAGACTTCTGTCCTCCTCTGTTTCCCCAGTTTATCTCATCCCGCTACAAATAAGAAATTTCTGGTTTTTGATTTGTAGTTTCCGGAAAGTATCGCTTCTTCTTCTCTCTCTTTCAGTGAACATGTGCTATTAGAAAGAAGAAGCTTTTCTGCATAAACCTCGACTGTACTTCTAATGATAGCATAAACGTACAGATGACAAGTAAGTTTTCGAAGGCTTTAATTAGCAGGATCAAATTCGTATTCAGTTTCGACATTTCTTCTGTATGTCTCTTTTGATGGTGTTCTTCCGTCTGCATCCCGTGGTGACTGTGCACATCCTCAACTTTTTCGTTGGTCCCGGGGGTTTGTTTATATAATAAGGCTCTTGTACGCAACACGTATATGTATATACGTACACATATAGTATGTACGCATATCTAGCTCTATGTGTACTTTGTACACGCCTCTAGAAGTATTCCCATGCACGCTGACTATATATGTATATATACATGTGTATATTCGTACATAGGCGTGTATACAGTACGTGGATATGGTATGCGTATATTGAACGGGTGCGTCCGCTGGGTGGTCAGTTACATACCTATGCTTATGCGTATGTATTTGTGGCCTGGAAGCTTCTCGGATACTTTGTTGCTATCTGCTGGCTGTTGTGTGCAGTGGCTGCGGGAGACTGGTAGCGGGGGCGCGGCCTCGGCCGTTTCTCCTGGCAGCAAGGGACAGCAGTAGGAAGAGGCGGCAGTACCAGGAGACGGCAGCAGCAAGCGATAGCAGCAGCAAGAGATAGCAGCAGCAAGAGGCAGCCGCAGCAAGAGATAGCCGCAGCAAGAGATTGCGGCAGGAGGAAATGCGGCAGTGAGAGGTAGCAGCAGCAAGAGATAGCAGCAGCACCTGCCACGACAAAAGCATTTGACAAAAGAGCAAGGAACACAAGCCCAGCAGCGGCAGCAGGCAAGAACATCCGCTGTTGCAAGGGAAGATGGAAGAACACTAACATAAGTACCTACAGCAAAAGCAGGAGCAGCAGCAGCTGCCGCAGCAGATCCAGCAGCAGCAGTACATAGGGAGCTACAGCAAGAACAGAAAGAGCGGCTGCAACGGCAGATGCCGTAAGAAGACTCACATCAGCAGCGACACCAAAAACACCAGCAGCAGCTGCAGCAGCAGAAGCAGTAACAGCAGTAGTATGAGCAGCTGCAGCAAGAGCCGGAGCAGCAGCGGCACCGGCGAGCAGCAGCGGCACCGGCGAGCAGCAGCGGCACAGCGAGCAGCAGGAACACAGGGAAGAGTGAACAGGAATACGAGGGCGCGAGACCCGACTATCCAGCGCTCTGCTGCAAGAGTACCAGAGCGGCAACGCGGGTTTTGTCCGTCCGTCCACGGCAAGAGCAGCACAGACATCACATTACAATATGTTTGCAACAGTAGGCGCAGCAGCAGCAGCACGAGAACTTTTGTCCCAGCTCGAGAGGTGGTGGACAGTAGTATGCAGCCTTCCTAGCGACCGGAGATCTCCTCATCTCTGGCGGAGTTACTACCGTTGGCTGTCCGTCGTTTCCGAGCGTAGCTGCCGCGCAAGCGGACCAGCGTCTGCATATGTCGTTGCCGGGGAAGTATACAGGCGTCGCCCTGTTCTGTGCTATTGGTTCTGCAGGAGATGCGGTACTACATGCAGATGAAGTTTTTGCAGCCGCAGTTGCTGCACTGCTCCTATTCCTGCAGAGTCTGTATCTGCTGGTGATCGCTGCTTACTCACAGGGGCTGCTGCTGAGAGCTGCTGCGGTTGTTGTGGCCTCTTCCCGCTGCCACTGCTGGTGCTGCTGCAGCTCTTGTCCGCTTTTCCTGCTGCTGCTGGTGCTGCTGCTGCTGCCACCACTGCTACTTTTCCCCCGCTGCTGCTTCCGCTGGTACTGCAGCTGCTCCCAGAACTTTCTCCCTTGCTGCTTTCGCTTTTGCTGCTGTTGCTGCTGCCGCCGCTGTCTGTGTTCTCTTTGGGCCGTGGGCAATGGCAGACGCAGTTCAACAACGAGTGGAGGCGGGCCTTGAGGAGCTGCATGCACTTTCGCAGCGGCAAATATTATCTGAGGAGGAGACGAGACAGATAGTAAAGAGGAGACGTGAATTCGAATACGAGTGTAGTAGCCCTCATGGAGACACCGTAAGGGCATTTCTGATGTACATACACTACGAAGTGAATCTATTAGCATTGCTGCGTCTCCGTTGCCGTGCAGCTGTCGATGCCAACCGTAGCCGATTGGAACAGCTGCGGCAGCAGCAGCGACTTCTGCGTGTGCAGCAGCAGCAGCAGAAGACCAAGAAACAGCAGAAGGCGACACAGAAACAGAGAAGCAAAGTACAGAAGAACCTGCAGCAGCAACAGCAACGGCAGCTGCAACGGCAGCAAAGACGTATTACCAGAGCTAAGGATCTGCTGCACGCGGTTGTCCGTACAGGATCAAGACGGGTGTACAGACTTTGCAGGCGGCTGCTGCAGAGGCACTCGACTTCTCTGGCCTTATGGTATAGCTGCGTGGATTTGCTGCTGCAGCTGGGGAGCACCAGACAACTGCAGCAGCTACTTCTGCACGCACTGCGCCAGTTCCCGTGCTGCAGTGGCCTCTGGGATTCTAGCTAGCAGATAGACTGCTGCAGCAGGGACAGCTACTTGCTGCTCGCCGGCTGTTGCTCACTGCGCTGCGCTTCAATAGCAGCAGTGTGGCTCTGTGGACAGAGCTACTAAGGCTAGAGGCTGCTGTGGTTCTTCGGAAAGCGAGGGCCATCCACTCTCGACATAGTGGAAGGCACCGCAGCAACGGATGGGGCTACCAAATACGAGCGCTGTATCTGGTGCTGCTGGTGCTGCTGCTGCCGCCTTTCATGAGGGACTAGGAGAACGCAAGCAGCAACACAGTCAAAGACAGGAGGGGAGTACAAAGGAGGTTTTGTGGAGCACCGCAGGGGAAGAAGAAGAAACAGCCACAGCAGGAGTTACACCCGCAGCAGCCGCCGGATGCACAGCAGAACCAACAACCACCACCGAAGCGGAATGTTTGGCACGTGGAGCATCTACGGCAGCAAGAGAGCAACACGCAGAAGAAGCAGACGAAGGAAGAGCAGCAGCAGCAGCCTATTCGCCGCATGTACGCGGTGATGCTATGCTGGTGGTGTTGAAGGCGGCGGTGGAGAAACTGCGGCATCGCCCGCGCAAGCGGGGGGGAGCAGTTGCAGCAGCAGGAGCTGCGCCGGCTGGTGCTGGTGCTGCAGCCGAAGAGGGTACATGCCGGAGCAGCGGCAGTAGCGGATGCAGGGGTGGCGGCCTACCTGTAGCTGCTGTGAACAGCAGACTACAAGATTTTCTTCTTCGTGCTTTAGAACTCTGTCTCGGCCTGCAAGCAAGTGAAGCAGCACCAGTGATGCAGCAGGAGCTGCTGCCGCCTCTGCAGCAGCAGATTTCCTTGCTACTGCATGAACAAGCTCAGCAGCAGGCCTTTGTTGCGTGTTTATGAGTGGAAGGTGCTGCTGCTGCAGGCTGTCTCAGCAGCTTCAGCAGCGGCAGCCGATGCTGCCCAGGCATGCAGCAGCAGTACGTCTGAGAACATGCCGGCAGTCTAGGTACGTGCGAGAAGGAGTGTTGCCCTGTGGGGAGAAGCAGCAGCAGAAAGACGAGGGGTGCTGTATTCCAGGCCTTTGAAGGCATCCTCAAGGAATGTGAGAGGCATCCTCACCTGCTGCTGCTGCTAGCTCTGCTTCTCCATGCCCTACACTACAGCAGCACCAATAAGCCACCGCTGCCATCAGCAGGAGAAGAGACAGCGGCAGCAGGAGCAGCAGTAGCAGATGAAGAGACAGGTATAGATGCAGATAGGCGGGAAGGGGGGCAAGACATCTTGTGCGTACTAGACGCGGAAGGAGACGCAGAAGGACATTCAGAAGCGCCGCGCTTTGATGGGAAGGAGAGAGGCAGCAGCGCTAGGGACATTGGAGCAGGGGAAGGAAGAGGAAGAGGCGGAGGCGGAGGTGGAGGTGAAGAAGGAAGAAAAAACGCAGCAGACGCTGGAGCAACGAGCCTTGTTCGCTGTCCTGCAGCACAGTTAGATGCAGGGTCGTACTTAATACAGCTTTATGGAGGAGCCCATGCAGACGCAGACCTCTTCGCGCGGTACATGACAGCAGCAGAAGATGATGCAGCAGCGTCGTTACATACAGCAACAGCAGTGCAGACGGGGAGAGCAGGAGGAGAAGACGGGTATGGGCAGGCAGTTCCTGATACAGTCACGTTGCGACAGCTGGAAATGCTGTCAGAGATAGGGTGGCCCCAGGTGCTCTTGCTGCTGCAGCGGCAACCCCGTTTTGGAAGGCATGCTTGCTGCTGCTGCACGAAGATGCGGACATTGGTTCGACGGGGAAGTTTGCTGCTGCTGCTGGCAATATTCTCGCAGAGCCACAGTTGTTGCAGCTCCAGCGGGAGACCCTCTGGAACGCTTTGTGGGACTCTGCCAGTCCTTCAAGTGGAGAGCAGAAAAAGAGGCAGGTCCAGGAACAGCGACTGTGGCTGATACGGTCTTTGCTCAAAGCTCTGCAGCACCTATGTAAGCAGCAGGCGCTGCAGCAGCCGCTAGAAAAGAGAAGAGGAATGAAGGGCCTGACGGAAGGGAAATGCAACGTTCTTACCGAGCAAGCGACTCCTGCAGTGATGGGTGCATTCGTGGCTTTGGGACGGTTGCTACTGGAACTGGTGCGAAGCGCAGCCGTGCAGGTACTCACAAGCTATGCTGATGAGGTGTACGTGCATCTCAGCCCACTGCAGCACGTACAGTACAAGCTGCAAGCAGCTGACAGAAGACTTTCTACGGCAACAGCAGCAACTGGGAACAGCTCCGTCTTACTCAGACAAGCATCAGCAGCAGCAGCTGGCACAGCTGGTGCTCTTGCTCCTCGACATTCGTAAAAGCCGTCTTCCGCTGCCCCCGAACAGCAGCACCAGCAGCTGCCCGACGAGCAGCACTCTCCACCAGTGAAGAAGACGAAGACGTTGCAGCACGAGGGAAGAATAGCGGGCACAGGAATGACGGAGCAGCGACAGCTCCAAGAGAGAACGGACGTTACGACTGGAACAGCAACACATCTTGATTTTATACGTAGATTCAAAGGCTCCTTGGCTGGTCCGAGGCCTCGGGCCTACTCCAGCACTATTTGCTGCTGTCGGAAGGAGAGGTACAGCCTAGCACAAGCGGCGGGAAGAGAGCAGGGGATGAAGCGGATTCAGGTGGAGCGTCGGTAGCAAGATTGCTGCCTACGTGGTTTCAAGAACTGCTAGCTGCTGCCGCGCCCAATGCAGTACCACCCCTCGTGCAGCACTTCTGTCACCATGGGCTCACGCAGCGCATGATGCGGGCTGCGCAGCATAAAAACGAAGAAGCGGAGACGGACCGTTTCGAAGAATCAAAATTACAGCAGCCACATAAACGAAGAAAACTGCTTGTACTGCATCGAGGACAGGCGCCCGTCGGGGCAGCATCTTCTGACATCCGGGCAGTGGTCACACCGGACGGATGGGAACGTAGAAAGAGAGGTTTCAAGGCCGAGGTTGCTGCGGTCTTACAGTGGAGCAGGGCGTGTGTTCTATCTCTGGATGACAGCGCCTTCTGCGTGCGTCTCTGCAATGCTGCACGGTTAACTGTATGTATAGAAATGTGTGACTTCATCATCAACACTCTTTGGAGATGTGTTGCGCGCTGCCGAGTGTATGCTGCAGCAGTGTGGGGAGGGGCAGCAGCTGGTTGGCCGGCGTACGTCCTGCGAGCTTTGCTGCAGCAAAGCCGAGACGTGTACATCTGCGTACTAGCAGCGTTCGAAAAGTGTGGACTGCAAGAACACCTAGTCTTGCAGGAGGAGAAAGGCGGCCGTGGTAGACGGCTGCAACAGCAGGAACAAGTGCTCCGCCGGCATGTATTGCAACACCTCACTAACGCTTGTCATCAGCAAGTAAGATGGTGGGTTGACTACTGGAGGTTTTCGCGCTTCTTCGAAGAGGCTGCAGGTATGCTGCATGTGCAGCAGGGAAACTGTTCTTTTTTCTTACACAGCAGACCCCGACCTTTGGCGAAGGCCGAGGTAAAGAAGTACAGTTCCGCTAGTGACTCCGCTGGTGCGACTCCTGTTGTTGAGAAGAGGGAAGAAATAGAGCGACGGGCAGAGAAAGCCCTGGCGACGGGTCTGCTGCGCTTGCTGCGTTCCGAGAGGGCCCTGGCCGCTGAAGTAGCAGCACCCTGCGCGCCGCAGCAGCACTATTCGGGGGGCTGCACCTCTTGTGGGCCTAACAGGTTGTGGTGCTCGTACGCCACCGCAGCACATGCTACAGGCGATAGCACTGCTGCATCCAGTTCCCCGCGTGGCTTGCTCAGTGAGTACGACTTGTGTTTGATCACAGGTGTAGTCGTCGGTGTGAGTGGAATGCTTTATCTGAAGTAATGGGGCTTGTAAATATGTGTTGTATTCTATTGAGGATGTACTCAGAGATATGCTTGGAAAGCTTTCTCACGAGCTATAGGCGTATTCTGCATGTATGTAATCATACATCAATGGTCGGAGCCGTGCAGGAACAACCATATACGTCGTCGCAACCTCGGAGTTAGCCGCGGTATTCATCACTGCCATCTACAGGTCTGCTTGCTTGGCTACCGCGGCTGCCGCGGCTGCAGCTCGCTCGATACCTCGTAGATAGCGACGCTGTCGGAGTCGCTTTACAGCGGTAGACGTGCACGCACGTCCTTCACATGCGCGTGCCACAGGGTGTGTATGGAGCTGCTGGTAGTTAATGCGAGAGTGTAATGCAGGTAGTTGTATATGCGTATGCACGATTGTGTTTCTCTGCAGCTGCTGTGATTGAGTACGGGACTTCAGCCCCGATCGGGGGAAGCAATGCTTTCACATCCGGAAGAGACGGGAAGCTCTAGCCGCGCCAGGCAGATGTGCTACGCTGCATACCATGTGCGTGGTGCGTTTTCTTATATTACTGGTGTGTGCGTGTGTATATATATGTGTATACATATATATACACCTGTTCATGTATATATGTATTTGTGTATCTGCTCCCACAGAGGATATGCGTGTGGCTTCTCTACGGGACGCTGTACTACGGCCTCGTCAGGGTTGCTGTGAGCGTGTAAACACATGAGGAAACTGTCTGATTTGGCAATGTAGAAAGCGAGAGACTGCGGTGTCGCTATTTGATGTCTTTCCTTTTCCTGTGGACACCGCATATTTTGTTTTTTTTTTCGGCGACTGCAAGAAGGGCGGCTTCGTCCGTAATTTTTGTGCCGTTCGCCTGTGGTTACATGCTTTATTAAGAACCGGTTCGCTAGCTAACTGCACTTTTGTTGGCGGCTCCCTCTATTTTCTCCCGCATGCGGTTTGCACAGCGGCACCCTTTGGCTATCGGGTATACACATATGCGGAACTCTCAATACTCCGCGTACGCATACGTGCTCAGGTGCATGCATCTACTGTCGGTCGTGCGTGTGTAGTGGTACCCCGCCCGCCGCAGCACCCCCTGCCGTCTCTCGCATACGACAGCTGCTGCTTCGAGGGTTTTGCTGGGGTACGATATTACATAGGTCTTCCAGCGGCCAAAATAGACGGAGCACCAGTACGTGAGAGCTGAAGCGGCACCTCCTCAGCGAAAGGAAACAGATACGAATGGAGCCTTTGCAGCAGTGTACGGCAACTTCGTGTGAACACCTGGTTGCAACGACTGCAATCACCGGCTCAGACACCCTGTTTGGCGGGAGAATACGCCTACGTGAATTGCAGCCGGATGGTGATGCTCTCTTCGGCTGCAGCGCAGCGCAAAAGCATGTAAATACTCTGTCGCAGCAGCTGCAGCAGAGGCTCGAAAAAAGGTACGCCGTGCCTAGAAGCAACACTCTCGCTCGCAGCGCTAGTCTCTATGCATCTGCCGACATACGGGTAAGCGGAACTGAAAGAAATCTTTCTTTGGAAGTGCATCAAGCCACACGCGTGCGGCTGCGCCGGCGTGTGCGCACACCCAGCTCCACTAAGCAGTTATGTGCGAACGCGCGTCATATCGCAGCTTTTGTCCACATGCAGACGCATATGCACATATATTGTCTTTGAGTGTGAGGTACAGACTGCCTGTTTTACGGAGGAAAGGCATATCCTGGCTTGAAGTGCCCGCGTGCTCGCACTGCTTTTCTCTTGAGCCACGTTATACTTCCTGCAATGCACGCCGCCCTTTTTTTTGAAGCTGCTACGCGTGGTCACACTACGATTCTTTCTACGAAACACGTTCGGCCTGCGTTCAGCCGTGAACTGGGTGGTTCCGGTGGCCGGACTAGCGACTCGTAACATCTAAGTACACGCTGGCCGCAACATGAGGGCAAGTAAGCGCGCCTGCAATCTTCACGCTGACAAGCCTACTTTAGGTGTGCTTTCCGAAGTTTCTCAGAGGTCACTGATCATGCCGCAGCTGAGGACAAGTACGGCTTGACGAGCTAATTATGACACGTTGAAGCGTGGGGGGGTAAAATAATCTGCAGCATGTGGCCGAGGATAACTACGCCTTGTGGTGCAGCACAGCAATACTCAGCGGTGCCGCTGCACGAAAAGCACCACCGTGCATTGTTTTGCGAGTTGTGACAGCATAACGACATCACGGCGCGAAAGTCTTGATAAAATTGTATCGCACATTGTTCTGCGATCTGTCACAGTGTAATGACGGCTGGTGAAATGTGGTAAGGGGACCGTAGCGGAGCAGTAGACAACGAATACTGCTTCACGAGAGGCACCAGCGTGCATTGTTCTGCAAGCCTGTCATTATTTAGAACGCCACGGCGGAAAGGTGGCGATAAGTCTTTCGTTTTCTGGGTGGCGTAGCGACCTAACAACTGTCGGAGCGTAATAACGCTGCGTTGCACCTCCCGTGTGAATAGAGATGCACGCGTGAGGAACGAAAGGTCCTACCTGTGCGGCTACGTACGCTTTCGCAGCTGGCCCGTCGACAAATCTATGACACACGGAATCGTCAGTGGCAGGCGACTTCCAGCGTGCGGCCGACAAGTATCGCTGTGGGGTAGCGTGGCAATAGAGAGCGGTACTTCTGCACGACAAGCGCTGGTGTGCAGTGTTCTGTGAAGTTTGTGACAGTAATGGTGACGGCGCGGAGGAGAGGTGGGCGCGCAAGTGCCTTACCTGCCGGAGCGAAATGTCACTCTCTTGTCCCTCTCCTGTACACAGGGATGCACGCGTTAAAAACCGGGCGGCCCTAGCCATGCGTCTATGTACGGCTCTGCAGCTGCGCTCAGAACCTGCGGACGGTGGGGGGAGGGATCCTGAGACAATCTTTATACACCCAAATATGTACGTGCTGATGTGAGGATGAGCATAAGAACCACGGTGGACGGCTATAAATATATGTCCACGCGACTCCAATTCCGCTCGTTGAAAAAAGGAGACTGATGAACAGGAAGGTTCTTTCGCAGTCTTTTCGCCGCCAACGTCCAGCCACGTAATCTTAGTCGAACTCGAAACCGTAGAACGCTATTTCCCATCAGAAGTGGCCCTGCACTTGGAGGTCATCGATTCCATATATCAGAGTCTCCCGTGTACGCGTACGTGCACCATTCTCTCAACAAAGTAGGTGAACTTACCCAGAGGGCTGCGTTCTATATAGGGGTGTCTCTGGGGTGTAAGAGGTCTAGGCAAAGGTGCAATTTGTCTTCCGCGGTCCGGTTTTCTAAGGAGAGGCCCTTTTACAGTGAACAAAGATTCGGCTTTGCGAGTGGGCTATTCCAACTAGGAAAACCGACGCAGTCTCCGAGCACACTTTAGGGAGCCGGCCTTGTAGTCAGCTCCCCGGTAAGGTGCACCGTCTCAAGAATAAACAGAAGAGTTGCTAGCACCTAATACCAGAAAAAGGGTAGACCTCTAGGTGGATGCTTACTTTTCTTCTACCAGCGCTCGTACGATGCGCTACAACATATGCTCACATAATTCTTAGCGCCTGACGCCGTGATACACGGACCCATCAACGAAAACACCTACCTCAATACGGTATGGTTGCACGAGAGAATCCCTCGTTACAGCAAAAGCCACGCACAGCACGTCGGATACAAGGGCACTGCTATGTTTGCATATCGAGGCGTTTTGTCCCACCACCATCCGTTCTTGAAAACCACGTGGGCAGCCTTACGCCGCGCACTATTCAACTTTATGACACCACGCATGTTCAACCGTTCGTTAAAACTATTATTCTTTTGATAGCTGCACGAGAAGGAGCAAGCGTTTTCCGGTTTCCTTTGCCGTGTGCACGGTGCTGTACACCAAATGTCTGTAGATACTGTTGCGGTGGGTGACTTGCGAAGTGGGCCACTAGTCGGGGGAGATACTTATCGGAGGTGTGCACGTCTGACGAAGTGTGCGACTTTTCAGGAAGCACCTGGTGACGTGCTGTGGTGCAGGCATGGACGGATGTCAGCAATGGTCCACCACAGCGGAGGTTATGCCTTTCGCAACGCAGTTTTTGCGTCGCGGTCCGACACTGCAACACTGCCCGGTTCAGTGCGACTTCCGCGGGCCAGATCTGTGCACAAATGAGAAAAATCTTGATATGTACGTGCCTCTGCGTGCGCGAGCATTTTCGGACGCAACCGCATGCCCTAGGTTCGACCGAAGTGGACGGACCTGGAGGCAAATCGAAACAAGATGTAAGGCGCTCATGCCTTTCGTCCGCTGCCACTGTTCGGAAGAAAGCTGTAGGCACGTCAAAGAGCACACAGTGAGAAAGCAGTACATGTCTACTCAAGAGGCGAGAAAACATGTGCACGGATCGCTACATTCGCCATGCTCCGGATGTTCCACTTCACTAGCAACTTTATGAAGCTTCGAGCAGATACACAAACGCGCGATTTTGCACAGGCGAGTGAGCAGCCCCTCGTGGCAAGAGCAGCGCGGCCTCTTGCGTGTAACGCGTGACAGCATGCACACGCATACGGAGTCAGCTGTGTAGACGAGACCTTGCAGTGAACTCGAAGACCTCACATAACGCACTCCACACGAATGTAAGGCGACAATGCATCAGCCGGAAGGGGCTGAGCTGTACTTCTCGGTTCTCACTCGTGGGCTCAGCGCAGCTAGGAGCACGTACCACCAAGCTACGAACACGGCAGAGCGGCCACCCTTCCAGCAGTCATCCGTGAGGCAGTTTTCACACGGCAATGAACCTCCTCTTTAATATCAGCCAGCCGCGCGGCAATGGAGAGACGAACTGCAAGAAGGCACAACTTGATTCTGGCTTCTTTCTCCTGTGCTTCAGCGCAAGCGTGAAAGCAGGGACACTGACCAGAACGTTTCAATCGCAGTGTCTTCTGCTCATGGATAGCAGCTTACGGAGATGACAAAGGGCTCCTGAGGGACTGGGGTGGCTGGTCACTCGTCGCCGTTTCTTGTGGGCTGCTGTTGGCTCCGTCCGCGCACCATTTTGTGAATTTCTGATGTCACATGTATGCATGTTCAACAACTCGTCTCCGGCACACTACCGCCCTTATGAGTCTAGCCAGCAGGCATATACTCACTGTTTTCTGTCTTCCTGTAGCCCCAAAACGGGTTTTCATGCATGCAAATACACATGCCGCGCGAACACCGCGGGGGCCCTCAGGATCAATTATACCCAGCTCAGAGGACGTTTTGAATGGCTTCCGAACCAGCGTAGTCGGAGGGAGCGGCGCTAAACGTTTCGCAGGAAGCATTAGTGCACACACGAACGGGATCTGACAGCGCACGGTATCCTACCCGCGAAGCTACCCTTCCTGCATATGCCCGCTGTAGCGCTTCGCAACTCTCACGGCAACGCGCGCTTCCCGTGCATCTTCGGATCCCCCAGATCCAGCGTTACTGTCCACGGCACGTACCCTGCCCGAAGGATACGCATTACTAGGAGGGCACCATGTCTCAAACCTGCCTAGGCAGTTCCGATGTCGGTCTGTCTTCACTGAAGACAAGCCGAGAAGAGAGGCGTCCGTTTTCCTGAGTTGGCGCTCGATTCCCTGGGACTGAATGAGTGCATCTACAACGCTTTCCATTTCATTGCGAAGCCACGAGAAACGCAGGGGCGCAGATGCAGAGAAGTACGTCAAATGTTGCTCCCTTGCCGCCGCTGTCACGCAAGAGTGGGCCGAATAAGCTTAATCAGTTCCCCCGCAATTGAGAAGGGACTGGGACATCGGTCAGGCGTCTACACGGTGAACGAAAAGAGGATTTTAGGACTTCAAGCACGTTGGTAGAGCTGCATGCTATGGAGATAATGCCCCTTGGGATATAACTGAGGTACTGGTGTTTTCAAGGCCCGCACTCGACATAGGTGCATCTCTTGAGGAGCCCACAACCGTGGCGGCGCGTGTTGGCATAGTGTCAGTTTTAAAGAGCCTGTCCTTCTCATATGAGAAGGGCGTACACAGAGCAACATGCGAACATCGAATTTCCGTATACTGTTACATTTTGATAGCTGACTATCGCAGGTAGTCCAGCTTCGGTTTTGCTTCTTTAAGCTTGTCATTAGTGATCCACGAGCCTCTTTGAGTAAAGGTCCTGCTGTTATACTAACATGAAAGCGCAGTTCGCTATGAAGCGTTTGTGATCTCACCGGTGGCGAGCAACGGCAGCACGCTCCTACCTGGTGTTGTACAATATCAAACGCCCTTCGCTCCGACGCGTTCGTGGTCTCACTGGTGACAAGCAGCGGCAGCGTGATTCTGCCGCTCTCTCCAGCTGCCTTCTTGGGACGCTGAAGCGCTGCCTGCACTACGCACATCTTTAGCAACGCGCCCTCTGCACGCCTCCTCCACATTCCAGTCTGCGGGATACATAGGCCTCCAAGCCTAGAATTGGCCCCTTGAAGCTCGCCTTCGCTGTCAGCATCCCTGGAACATCTTCGCGCTCCACGTGCGGAGCTGGAGCACATCTTGCTGTCCCGGAAAGATTTGCCCTAGTTGCTGCCTTCCGGTACATGTCCCGAGTTCAAGGGATCCGTGCCTTCGTCACGCATCCTCGGACGCCGAGTGTCTGCACGGAGTTTCACGTCGCAGCCGAACTCGAACCAGTACCCAGCTTGATACAAGCTGCCAACGATACGGTGTCCACCCGCAGTTGTCTGCCACATCGTGAAGCAACCCATTTTGAGTGGTGTGCGGAAGATAAGTACAAATGCTGCTTGCACTCTCTACGGGGTCTGTCTAACACAGTTCTCATCTGGTGGTGTATGCCTTTTTCCAAAATACAGACCGTGGGACCTAGTGACGCCGTACAGCTTCTGTTACCCCGGAGAAGATCTCTCAAGTCAGCTGCGTTTATTCGAGTGGTGTGTCGTCTACGCGCTCAAATGCTTGGGAATGTACGTGAAGTCGAAGGAAAGCCTCGCTGAAGCCCTCGGTACGCACCGCAGGACACGGCACGCCGCGGTACAATTACGTTGGCTAGTCATCTTTAGAAAGGGCCGCGCTGCTGAGCCCTTGGCCAGACCGCCGGACAGGACGGCGCCTGAATATTTTGTTTCAGGCCGACAGGGTACACACGGAGACGAGTGGGCGGTACATCATGGCGTCGTATACGTGTCTACACTGTATCCTGCGCTACTCGCGAGTTTCGTTTCGTCCAGCTACTTGTACTGAGTATTTAGGATAGAGCGCTCGAATCCCAGTATACTCGAAAGTCGCTAACACATATAAAGGGCTCCATCATGCTCGTAGAAGAGTCCAGCTCTTAGAATGCTCATGTCGACGGGCCGAACAAGGGCGCAAATGCCATCTGACTGCTCTCCTAGTTTGGACTCTCTACATGTTTGGCACTGTTGCACCAGCGCGAGCCCTCAGCAAGGTGGTGGTGCCTATGTGCGAATATATGGTTGAGCATACATCCGCCCTTTATTTTCAAGGCTGTTTTTGAGTCTTACTGGCGAATCATGCGCGTTTCCTTCAAAATAGACAGGATTCTGGAACGAGCGTCTGCCGCGCTATTGACGACGCAGCAAGACGCCAATGAAGCACTGGCCAAGCGAACGCGGCATTATTTGAGTAGTGCTGAGCTAGACGCGAAAAGCAGTTGTGGAGAGGCGCAATTTCGCGCGGTCACTTATGATCCCAACACAGGCAGTGTACAGCTCTTAGGATCAGTACTGCAAAGTAAGGAGCACAGGTTGTGTCACTGGAGCCGGTTGCCCGTTGACTCCGAGGCGACTAGGGTTTGACAAGGCCAAACATGTACAGCTCACGAAATATATTCATATCCCTACGTATTTGTGCAGCAGTATGCCCGGTCTGAACACGTGTCTGCAGCTGTAGTATCTTCAAGCAACGAGGGTCTGCACGAAGAAGAGATACGCGTCAGCAGCCCAAGACCCTATGGCTCCACCGGTGTGTTGTCGGTAATACTGAGTTTACATATGTGAATAAACAAGCAATGTGCTTCAGCAACTGCCGGGTCCCCACCGCTCGGAATGAATGCACCTCACCAGGCGAACGAGAGAAGTACATTTGCGCTTTCGATACTATTCGGTCCTAACAGCTGCGACTTAGTAGGTCTACCTTCGCTCCAGATTTCGTAGAGTACACGCAAGAGCGGTAATATTCAGCTCAACGTGGATCAAGCGGGCGCTGAACTACACGCAGCGTGCGTATATAGGCGTGTATATACAGATGTGCATTGGCTTGCCGTATGCATCATCTAGTGGCCTGCTTGAAATGCTCGTTATCCGCAAGGCGTAGCCTGACGCCTACCTTCACGTGTACCCCCCCGTCTCACTATCAGCTTTACAACTCCGTCACCAGGACACTCCAGCTGGACAAACACTGTGCACGTACGCAGACCCTATGTCGCGCTTTCTTAGCGGATCTCGTCAGCGCGAATGCGCCTGTATTAACATAACATCTCGCGGGCTTGCGGCAGTGTCGTCGTGATGTGCGTCACGCTCGTACCAGCACTGATCCGCTGTGAGCACCTTGTGCTGTCACACGCAAACCTGCCCCATTACGACAGCCTGCGCGCGCTAAGGGTGCACAGGCGTTTGGAAAAGTAATGCGCGCCGCAGAAAACAGTTTCATGCGCTTTCGAAGCAGCGAGCGCGTCTAGGTTCAATACACGGGCGTGAGCAGCACAGGCGGCTCTCCCGCTTGACGCAATGATCCGAGACAGAGCCGTGCACGCCTGCACTGCGGCCACGTTCCTCTGCAGTTTGGTGTGCACAACGCGGTGCAGCGTTACTAGATGTATGCCTGTTCCCGCTAATGCACTTGACGAGCGGCCCTGCGGTGTACGTTTGAATGCAGCAGGCACGGAACACCCAGACCACATCTACGGCTTTTCCTGCTTCAGTGCGTATACCACATTCAGTCTAGTAGTCCTAGCCGCTGCGTCCTTGTGGCCGGCTTTGTATCCGGCTGTCGCGTCTGCTTTTTCCACGTGTAACTGTGCTCAGGGCAATTCTGTGAGGAGATAGGCGTGAAGGAATTGAACCCCATCACCGACGCCGACCTACAAGAGGTCGGCGAACGCATCTATATATAATAATAGCAGAGTATAGGCGCGTACCGATCAAGCGAATACGCTACATCGTACAGGCGACTCCTTTAGCCCCCAGAACGCAAAACAACACGTAGAAGCGCGCCGTGCTGAAAAGAGAGGGTGGTGGGCACAACGGCTCTCCGCCTCGCCGCAGTGCTGCAGGGCGCGGAGGCGCTCTTCGTACACGCAGTTCTGTGCTAGTGGGTACTAATAGTGCAGCTTTTCCGTTTACGGCTCCGTGGATTTCATTTGCACACGCACCTAGTTATGTAGAAGGAGATACGTTGGAAGATGAATAGGTAAAAATACGTATATAAATATATATATTTCCGTGAGCATGCCTCAAAAATTCGACGTTAAAAAGCAGCGGCCTTCCCCTCGACGGCACTATGCTCCCGTAATAGTGAATGTACTCCTCATTGACATTTAGTACGCATTTCTGGAACTCCCTCCTTTCTCCCGGAATACGTCAGCGCGTGCTAGCGCTTTGTACAGGATTCGGCGTCATTTCTGAAGCTATTTTGTAGGTGTGAGACGACAGGCCGAGCATCCCGATGGCTCTGCACGATGTCCTCTGTTGGCTATCAGGGATATGGCGACGTCCCCTGTAAAATACTCTACCTGCTGCTTAGGACAGGTACGACAGCTCTGGGCGTCCAGACACACGTACAGCTGCGCTATTTCCCCGGCTAGACCTGTGAATTCTGACCCTCATGCGCAACTCAAGGGCGGAACAGGGCGTGTGCGCCTGTCGTGGGTGTTCGCGGATGGCCGGGCGGCAAGCCTAAACGCAGCACGTGGTGAGGAGCGCTCCATATCTTGCAGGGTTTCAATCGCTGTCATTAGCAACTTGAAGGCAGTCGCTCGTGGCGCCGCGGGACGTTTTGTGGCGCCTGCCGGAGTAAGGCCCTGTTTTCGAGTGCATCACTGCCCTGATGGGGCGAGCCCTATAGATGAAGTATCGCTGGATACAGTTACGCTCTGCACCACTCCACCAGACAAGGAACCTGTAATGAGTATAGTCGGATTTTACGTCCCTTCGGCCGCTCGGACACGCTGTAGTGAGCAACGCATCTTTTAGTTTTTTAGCACACATATATTATACGTTAGCGCACGCTGATAGTGCGTCCTGCAACGAATCATGTGTCACGGCGGTTTAGAATTCACCTGCGCTGTTCGTTCTCATAACTTCGTGACTGACGTTGAAGGAGCACGCGCCATATGTGCGAATACGTACACGTACGTCCAGCGTGTGCAATAAATTAGCAGTGGGTGAGGGTTTGCGACCTCAACGTGGACGTATGTTGGTTCGTCTTGTTGAGTAAAGAACCGTGAGTGCTTACATATACCTGCACGACGGGTGATCCGCGTCATGCACACCCGGGACATGGATGTGGATGCGAGGTTCAGTAGGTGCTGGGTGCGGTACTGAACTGTTGCCACGGTGAAAGCTATTCTGTCCGGCGGCTGGATGTAGTAGTGTCCGCCTGCGCTTACATAAGCAAGCGCTCCAGATGTGTGTCTGTACGAGCCTATCAACTCGCTTGTTTGAGACATAGGGTAGGGTGACAAAGCGTACGTGCAATCGTTCAAGTACAACAAGTCGAGTACTGCGTAGTGTAAAGCCTGCAGAGGAGGGGCGGTCTCAGTCCAGCCAAAGCGAAAGAGGTTGTTCAAGGGTCAAGCCGAGGACTTCTTTGTGCTTCACATGCGTACACTCGTCTTGCGGCAGGCAGAAGAGACGCAGACTTGGCGACAAGTAACTTGTGTGCTTGCAGGTATTAGAAGCTAAAGGAATTTCTGTGGACCCTACAGCATCAACGAGGCCTGCGCCAGACGCGGTAGACGACCCCGGAGATGTGGAGGACTTCGCATCTCGTAGCAGAGGAAGTCTGGAAGAAGAGGAGTACGACAGCGTTTTGACCGGCTTTGTAAGGACAAATGCAATCGTACGCGATTGTACATACCCTGAGGCGCGCAGGAACATACGTACGACGACGGGCGGGCACGCAGACGCATGCGCTTTCGCGTACAGAACGAAATGCGATCTCAAGCACTGATACTGGAACTACATATATGCATACTGGGTTTCATTACAGATGTACAATCCAGCGTGCAGATACGCATGAGAGGACTTGTCCCGGCCTAGCCGTACCCATAACACACGTGCGTGCGTTCGCACCGCATTCTCAGCGCAACCCGGTCTGCCAAGCATTTTCTGTTGCGCACGAGCCTCTATAATGAGTTCTAGGGTGTGGAGCAGCACTGTCGCCAGCAAATATGTACTTCCGGACGCGGCCCACAGCCACCTGTACTTGCAGACACCTACACATATACTTATATATACATATATATGTATGCATATATGTACAGTATACATAAGCGCACATATATAGCGCCCGCATGAATACATATGCGTCGCAGTCGCAAAAGGCTGTGGCTGTAGTGATATTCGCATGACGTGGTTTTGCCGTAGACTTGTAGGCTCAAGGAGCTGCAGACGCCCTGCTCTCTTATTCCTCACACGCGCTGCAGCTACTGGAATATATTCGACTGCTTCGTCACTGTGAATTCCGCTGCCGACGTGAACCCGCCACTACTCCACGCGCCTCGTGGGGCAAGTTGTCACTTGTGGTGTTTGCTTCTGAGCACGCCCCCAGAATACAGAGGATCCTGCACTTCGATCCGCCTCCTCTTCGCGTGAAGCGCCTGATCAGGGTCGCACTACGAGCTCAGAAGACGCCACACAGGTAAACGAGGGTGAAAAATACAAAGCGCACACCAAGGACAAGGAAAAGCTTGCAGTCGCATTCCTGTAGACGTTGTACCCTGCTGTTGTAAAATACTTGCGAGCTGGCTTCGTTGCAAGACGATACCGTCCGTACTGTGGCTGACTTGTATAGCTACAACTGGGCACGTGAACGCAGTACGCAGTTTTCCAATGACACGTAGCTTGCATCATGCCGCACAAAACAACTGTCCCTCTACTAGTACAAGTGTGCAGTACCATCGCCTCTGTGCCTCTACATCCACTACGGAAGCACCATGCTTTCAGACCGGGGTAGACGTTTGGATGGAGCACTCCTAGTAGACCTCAGTGTTCGGCAACATCCCTGAAAAGGGGACTTCAACGACTGCTGTCTTAGGCACCCCTCTTTGGGTGTGCAGGGCCGTCTTGCTAGCGCTTCGCCCGCATGTATTCACTGTTTCGTCACGCCTCGCGTTTTCACGTATGCCTCATGCGGGGCAGCGTCTGGTGTGTGAGCGTGGCTCGGTCGCACCTCTTTTTCCCGGACAGAAGGACACGGACGGCAGCATGCAGAAGAGAGGCTTTCCCTCCAAAACGTTCGTCTACGCATATGCGTACGCCTGTCAACTATAGACGTGTACAGGTGCATACAAGCGCACATACCGAAGAAGTCGCATCTGCACGAATATACGTAAATATACATGTAGCGTAAGGCACGCGAGTTCGGGTGATAAGACGCCCAAAGAGAATTCTGCATCCTTAGCAAGGCTCAACGTCGGTACCGCGGGAGTACCGCCTGAAGCGGAATTGTGTTAAGAAATGGAAGCCATCTGTTTTATGCCGGGCGCCGCCACGTCTCGACTCAGGATCCTTATAAGGGGTGCAAAAGAGAACAGGTGGTACCAGATTACCACGCATACGGGATTCGTCCTGTCTCACGCTGCCGCCTCGCCTTTTTCCTGGCGTAGTTCTCACGAAGATCGAGATTACAAGGCGAACGGAAACACCGCTGCTGCATTCTACACTCAACTTCCTATGTACCACTCAGTGGCGATCTTCTCACTATTGAGAGTCCGTACGGGTCGACACTTTGTTCGTCAAGGCCACCACGCACCAAGAAAGCTATTATCGTCTACCGCTTGATCACTGTGGTCATAGAAACACACCGTCGCAACAGTCAGGGTGCTGTGTGCACGGGCGCTCCATCTTCAGGGTTTCCGTTCATTAGAGCAGGCAATTGATGCTCAGCCGGGTGTTTACAACGCCCAGCTTCTTCCTTCGTAAGGTATCAATCTCAGCGAAACGTGCTTAGTCGGGTGTTTACCTGGACGGAGCGCTCTTTTCGATGGATTCCCACGCTGAGCAGTAAACTCCGAGCCCGGGTAAAGCAGGTGGAAAGAGAGCATCACTCTCACAAATACATGCTTAGCGGGGTTCTGATATGGTCGCGCTTTCTCCAGTCGAGCGTCCCTGTGAGCAATACATGCTTAGCCGGACGTCTACGTGGGCTGACGTTTGCTTGAGTGAAGTACCACTCGGAGCAATACTTGCTTAGCCAGGCGTTTACACCGTCCGACTTATACGAAGTGTCACTACGAGCAGTAGCTACTCAGCGAGTTTGTTGCACGTCTGATGGACGGATCTGTGAAAAACGTGCAGGACTTCGAAAAGCATCTGTCGATCGCGGAAGGGGCCTGCTCTGGTGAGAACGAACCTGGAGGGTACACCTGGAGGAAACACGTAAATATAAGAAGCTTTTCGACCAGTGTCTCGCGCCCGTTGGAGAGGCACTGCAGAGTCAGCAGCAGCGGATACAGGCAGTCCTGACAAGGGTAGAAGAGAAAGAAAAGTGGCTGCAGCATCAGTTTCAGGAAAAGGTAAAGGACGCCTGCACCATGCAGAAATCTTCGTACGGACTCTATACTTTCGGCGGCAAGAAAAAGTCGTCGGCTTTGCAAGTCACTGGAAAGCCGCTATGCGTGTGACCTACGTTCGACAGCACAAGTAGAGAGGTAAAGAGAGTGGCTGCAGCGCTGATTTGGTGAGAAGGTCTAGGCGCTTGCAGCACGTTAAATGCGTCCTGTCATACAGGTCAGGTCAGCGACGGAGTCCGCGCAGAGGTACAGAGGGGATGTCGCAGCATCAGTACCAGGCAAAGTTACGGACGTGCGCACGACGAAAATCACTCTCCGTCGGAGGGAGCGTGTCTGCAGTGGAGTCTGCGCGTGGACAGCGTTTGCATGTCCTGTCTGTCGCAAAAGGACTTCGCGGCATCACTTTCGTGATAAGCTCTACGCGTGCACCACGTAAAAATCTGAATGTCGTAGAGAGCACAACGGCAGTAGAGTCTGTGCGGGAACACTCTTCTCACGTCGTGCTAGCCACGGGATAGTACAGGACCAATTCCGTGAAAAGGTTTACGCTCGCGCCATGCAAAAGCCTGTTGGCCATATAGGTCACATCGGCAGCGGAGCCTGCGCAGAAAGACTCCTTCCACGGTCCTGCTAGCCACAGGACAGTGCCATAGCAGGAGAGGGCGTGGTCGCGTGCTCCACGTAAACATCTGTCGGTTACAGAGAATGCATCCGCAGCGGCGTCTGCGCGTAGACAAAGCTCCCACATCCTGTTGGCCCCAAGACAATATCGCAGGGGCAGTTTCAGAAGAAGTGTTTGAACGCGTTGAAACCTGCCCGTCACAGAGATAGCGTCTGCGGCGGAGTCTGTGCGTAAGCGCGTCACATGCCCCAGAAGAAGATCTTGCAGTAGTTGTTTCCTAGGCCCCCGCACCACACAAAAATCGTTCTGTCACGCAGACGCCGCCGGCGGAAAAGTCTGCGCATCTGTAGTGTTTCCATATTGAGACAGCCACAACATATATCGAGTCAGTGGCGAAGCTTATCCGAGTGTGACGTCTCCTCGGCTGGCCAAGTACAGTTGCACACGCATGTGTCTTCACTACGGAGCTTAACCAGCGTGCCTACAGCGAAGCGTGAGAAATATTCCATGCCCCGTCCCTTACCCTCCCCGTACCAGCGTGTCGTATCTTGTAGGCAACTAGATGCCTCCGATTTCGCAAGTCATTGAAAATCCTCTTTCCTTGTAAATAACCTTCGCCAGCATATGAAGATGAAGTGGTGCACATCCACTAGACGTTTCACCGACAGCCTACAGTTCCTACTAGCCCTATCGTACAGTCTCTCCTTGGTGACAAAAGCTGACGAGTGTACTCCCACGAGACGAACAAGGGAGCATCTCCGCCGCTGTGGACGCACGTGTGCCGGCTCACGCAGGGATACGTAGGTAAATGCGTGACTCCACAGTTGATAACCAGCCGCCGTGGAGCGCAGAGATACGTAGACGTACACGTAGCGACATAGCGCCAGCGGTAGTGCAGCGCAGAGGCATTTACAGCTGAACACTACGACGGTGTCACTTCCTTTCCTTTATGCTCGTCCGCGAGACCCGTATTAGAAATCTGCTTCGAAACAGTGTACACGCGAGCGCATGTCGCGCGAGAAAGGCTCAGACGTACGTGACCTCGACAGCTTTACTATCGACGTCCCACCGGGCAACGTTGGCACTTCTCTCCAAGCGCCTGTCTCCTGTAACTGCACATCAGCCGCAGAAATATTTCTGTTCATATACGAGACTGCTATAATAAGTAATTATCACGTCTGCACATGTATGTGAGTGTCCACATGGAAAAAAAAACGATAACAGAGAGATGGGTGGACGCCTGAGCTTTTAGGCACATGAGGCTGTACATGTTGATTGTCGGAGATGTCCTCATGCCCGCTATTGTGCATTTGTGTCTATGTACTTGCTTGCACAGGAAGCCACGTACTCCGTTAGTATTGTGCTGTGCTCATCCACTTTCTTGCCTGCCCTCGTGCACCGGTTCCACGTGTGCATCTACAGGCGCTTGCGTGCACCAGGACTCGCGTACTTTATTACTGCTGTACACTGCTCATGTATTATTTCGGCTTTTTCGTACAGGCGGCAGTAACACGCCAGCTTGCGTGACGCTCTAGACAGCCAGGCGGCCCTTTACAATGACTTGTTGGAGAAGAAGGACAGCCTCGCAGTTACCCTGGCCTCGACGCAGGAGCAGCTGCAACAGAACGTCAAGCTGCTGCAGCGGAAGTACAACAAAGTCACAGACACACAGCCCTTAGAGCATCTTACCTCCACACTCAAGACTATGAAGGTATACACTGCACGCACGTGAATGAAGCATGAGCACCTGTCCCCACCAACTTCAGCAGCGAAATCGACACTTTTTGCTGCTTGAAACTGGCTTCGAAAGCGAAGGAATACGTGCACTTCCACGGCCGCTGATGCCGAATAAGATATGCGTTCTGTGTGTGCACACTCACGCTAGAACAGTGCATCAAGTTCTGTAGTCCTGGAGATCTCTCTCCACGCGTAAACAGCTAGACGGTGGAAAGTGTCCCGGTTTGGAAGGTGCGGCCACCTCGCTTCTCGTGCAAACACTCAGAAGTAAAGGCACACAGACCCGCCCTACATATACCACACTGGGCAGACACCTTCTACGAGTATGTGCGAGAATCTACTCGTGGGCATGTGATTGTTGTCACTTTCCGATGAACACAGTGATAACTTTGTAGGTCCGCCGGCGCTATAGGGGTCATGTGATGCATCCACGTAGCCCCCTGACATAGTAGTGACATGGCCGACGAACGTGGAGGCCCATTACCAGCCTTCCGAACGTTCCAAGACAAGCGTAGGCGCGAAGTGATCGTACACAGCGAGTCGTATACGGGCGTGAATCTGCGTGCACAGAATCGCTCTGTATGCAAGTATAAATTTATACATTTATCCATATGTACGTCTATACAAATACGTATTCCTACAGAAACTACCCAGGCTGAGGCGTGCGTGCAGGATGAAACCACGGCGCCACGGCCCACCTGTGCGTGCACGGTAGCAGAGGCAGAAACATATGTCCGCATACAGACATATATATGTAAGCGCGGTAGCAAGGTGAGTACCTCGAGACGTATATTTATACGCAAACGTGTAGTCGTACGCTCGTTTGTGGATGGGTGTAAAATATTTACGGACTGCATACATATGTACAGCAGCCTGCGTACTTCGATAGGCCAGCGTGCGTTCTTCAGTCCTGATGCAACCCGTCAAACCGTGTACCACTCCGAGCGTGCAACTACTGGTCGTGTTCGTCTATGCATCGTCCCGCGTTTCGCTATTGTGCCTACACATGATGCAGGAAGAAATAAAACAGATGGACGTACGGATTGGGGTCCTTATGCACGCCAGCCTTCGGGTAAGCTACCCTCTGCATGACTGAGAAGTACAAGCATTCTTCTTTTCTCCCTCTGGGTCACCTCCAGGTACTTGTGGCCTGTCTTATTAGCGGGCCGCGTCACATAGACGGCGAGGTGTACGCACGCTCCAGTTCCGCCATGCTACGTCCCTCTTTGTCGCATGGACTTCATTTTCTCTTAAACGTCAGCGGAAGCTTGCCCTTCTGCTCCTGCAACAACAGGAGCAGCAGCACACACAGCAGCGGCAGCAGCCGCAGCAGCACATACAGCTACGATAGCAGCAGCGGCAGACACTGCAGCTGCAACAGCGGCAGGAGACAAAGCAGCAACGGACATACAGGAGACAACGGCAGCAGAATACACAAGAGGCCGCATTCAAGCACCGGACGACAAGTATGCGCACGCGCATACGCAGATGTTGCAGGTGCCCCCAGGCTGGAAGAGCAGCACGAATCTTACGCGTAGCGTGCATGCTTCTGCATCTGTGGAAGGCTGTGCTTCCATGCACGTATCATGCAGTCACGCAGAGAGAAGTGCTAGCTGCTCGTACAGAGGTTCTCGAGGCCCCCAGGCTGAAAGAGAAGCACAGGACCTCACGCGTAGCGCGCACGCGCCTGCATCCGTGGAAGGCTGTGCTTCCATGCACGTATCGTACAGTCACGCAGAGAGGAATTGCTAGCTGCTTGTACAGAACGTCTCGAGGCCCTCAGGCTGAAAAGGAAGCACAGAGGCTTATGCGGAGCACAAATCTGCCTGCATCTGTGGACGATTGTACCTCCATGCACATATCTGTACAGTAATGGGGAGAGGAGTTTCTAGCTGTTCGTACAGCACATCTCGATGCCCTGCTGAAAGAGAAGCACAGGACCTTACGCGTAGTACATATCTGCTTCCAGTCGTAGAAGTCTGTACCTCCACGCAAGTGTCCGTACTGTCACGTAGAAGGGAATTTTTGGCTGCTCGTACAGAACGTCTCGATGCCCTTAGACTGAAACAGAAGCACAGGAGCTTACGCGTACCCCTCATGTGCTTGTACCTGTGGAATGCTGTACTGCCATGCACGCGTCTGCGCAGTCATGTAGAGAGGAAGCTGTGGCTGCTTGTACCCAGCTTGTCAATTCCCTCAGGCTGAAAAAGGGAAGCACAGAAGCGTATGCGTAGCGCGCATGTGCTCGCATCTGTCGAGAGCCGTACCTCCATGCACTTACCGTACAGTGATGTGGAGATGAGTTTCTAGCTGCCCGTGCACAACATTGCGTACCACATACGTTCTTGCATTTGTGCTGGGCTGTACCTCCACGCATGTGTCTGGACGGTTCTGTAGAGAGGAATTCTTAGCTGCTTATACACCAGTTCTGGTAGCACATATGTGCTTGCATTTGTGCTGGGCTCTACCTCCCTGCACGTATCTGCACAGTCTTGTAGGGAGGAATTTCCGGCTGCTTATTCAGAAGTTCTTGATGGTTCCAGTTTGAAAGAGAAGCAGCGAAGCTTGTGTGTAGCATCTGCGTCTGTGCAATGCTCTGTTTCCAGGCAGAAAGCTTCAGACTCACGTAGAAAGAAATCCGTAGTCGCTTGCATGTGCGACGCCGTCTGCGTTCGATGACTGATCCATAGGCCCTGTGCATCTGGATTCGGCAGCTGCGTAACGTCGTGGCCTGCTTGCTACTGGAACGGTATGTTTGCAGAGCAGGCGGCGCGACTTGCCAATAGCGCGGAACAAGAACACATACAGAGCTCTACATATAACCCGCACAGAGGCGGGTACACATCTGATGACATGTGCACACATGCGCTGCAGCAGGTAACGCATTTGGTATACGTGAGCGTATATAATATGTCTGTATACATGTGGACAAATCTACGTGCGGGCTCGCTCACTCCCACGTAAACATTTGGGACGCGTACGACAGAAGTATTTGTTATATGTACGTGTGTATATATGTGTACTCCTATGCGCAGCTCCCCCCGCAGAACTACGCGCTCGTGCCTGTGTTCGTACACACTTTTGTAAGTGAAAGCGTAGGCGCAGCTGTAAGTCTAGCAGGTGCAGCTGCAACGCGGCGGCTAAGTTGCTTGGCTGATTCGAATATGCTCGCTGAGTATATCGACCCGTCCTCGTGCCTGATACGCTTCTACCTTCAGGAGGCCGTTCGCGAACGTGCCGTCAAAAGTAGCGGGAATATTTGTACTGAAGAGGCAGAAGGCGGAACCGACGAAGCATACTAAACCTAAGCCGTGCCTGTCACTGCTTGTGATTGTGTGCCTCACTGAGGTCGGGGTAGGTACTGACACGTACATCTCGCACGCGAGGCTTGAACGGCAGTACGCACCGTGTGTACGGGTACTGAAAGGTGAGCTCGATGGTCGCTCGTGTTCTCGTACGTTTTTGCTATTTTAAAGACGTCACTTGACATATAAGCGGGATTCGGGACGCTGCGAAGTCAAGCACTTGCAGTGACACGCCACTGCATCTGCATATCTTGGCTGTTGTACCGAAGCACACTTCGGCAAAACAAAAAAGAATTAACACATGACAGGATGACTGTACGTAGGCGAGTGTGAAATTTTTACTGTATATGTTTCAAGGTTATGGCGTCGTGTACCGGCCTGCCAGTACACGTCTTTATCACTCTTTTTTCCGCGTGGATCCACGCGTGAACGCGTATGCCCCTGCCGGAGTGCGTACTCTATATTACGGTGATTGTGAATACGAGGAAGCCAAGCAGGGAAAACCTGCCTTCCTCGCTGGCTGGGGGGTGGTGCGCGCATGTGTGCGCATCCTCTTGTCGTATTATGCGACACGTATCACGGTGACAGTGGATATGGGATGGCACAGCAGGTAAAACCTGCCTTTCCTGTGGGCTGCGTACGAATCACAATTCTATGTTCTCGAGCACCTCCTTAAGTCAGTTGAACCTTTTGGAAAGCGTAGGGAACTACGCGTACCGTCAGAGTCAAAGCGCATGTTCTGCAAGAACCCATCAATGGGTTGTACGGAGGACAGTTACGCTACTAACTAGCACTGTGCGCCGGTGCGAGCATAAAAACCCTATACCTTTCCTCGAAAACATAAAAAGTGACTTTTTACTCGTTTACGTATAACTGTCAAGGGATGAGCTTCTCAAGATATTGGTTCTTGCTGCTGTAAAGTGCCCTTTCCACAGCTTTACAGTGGATGACACAATCCAGCACATGAATGGTAACAGCACGTGAAGACGACTCCGCCGATGTTCTTCCCAAGCTTTGCTATACGGTTTACGGTACAACCAAGCACTTGGAAAATCCGTGTTGCCCACTTCGTCTTCCTTGGCTCCTGTCTTGTGCTGTTGTGGTATGTCCTGCTGCCCCGCTGCACGCAAGCAGTACTCAAAACCACCTTCATCAGCACTCTTATCACGCTTCTCCATCTGCTTTACGCTTGATGATACCACGTAGCGCTTGAATAGTAGGTGAAGCCAACTTCACATCAGTACTGTGTGTTGCTGTCTCATACGCTGCTGTTGCTGCTGTGCTATATCCTGATGCTCTTGCTGCACATGAAGAGTACACAAAGCCACCTCCATCAGTATTTGTCTCACATTCGTCCCGCCGCCTCACGGTTCATGACACGGCCCAGCACATGAAGAGCGCATGAAGCCAGGCTCCCCGGTATCCTCCCCAAGCTCGTCCAGCTGCTTTGCAGTTCATGTTGGAACGTGGCGCGCGGCGTACGTGGATGCGACTTCTTCAGCTTTTTTCTCCCGCCGGTCCAATTGCTTCAACGTTTGTGATACAACCTAGCGCACAACACTACGCGAAGAAGGCTTCTCCAGTAGTCTTCGAATGCACGTCTGTCTCTCTGCTGGAGAGCTTGCTTCTCCGGGCGGCCCTTATTCCCCTAATAGTATGTGAAGAAAGCCTCACCGGAGCTGTTTACGTGCTCGTCTGCTTCCGTGTTGCTCGTGTTTATTTATTTACCTGCGTCTCTCGTCTCCCGGGAAGAAGGAAGAAAAGCGGATAGAGAGTGCTATGATCTCCTTGCGGCCTCTGTTACGCACTCTTTTCGCTTGATGCAGGTGACTTGTGGGTCACTAATGGAAAGACATTGTACCCTTGCTGGCTCACCACCCACCAGTAAAGAGGTAGACGCCTTCTCGCAGATACTTTCACTGACTAGTACATGGAGAGGGCTTCACTACTATTATTACTACTATTACGACTCTTCAAACCTGCTTTGACTCTCTGCACCGTCTTTTACATGTTCTTCCCGATCCAAGCGGATGACACGTCTATAAACACTGCAAATATCTTTCGCTGACTGGTACGTGGGCAGACCTTCGCTAATATTCTTCACACCTCGCCTGTCTAGCCGCACAGTATTTCACATCTTCTTCCTGCTCCATGCGAATGACTGGTGTAGTACCAGCGCACGTATTTTCGCTGTGTGGAACGTAGGGAGAGCTTCACTGGCAGTCTTCACACGTTGTCTCTCTAACTGCACCAGATACTATCTCTTCTCGTAGGTTCAGGCGAATGACTGGTGTACGACCGGTGCATAGACACGGTAGCCATGCTGGTACACCGCCCTCCAGTGAAGAGGCAGAGATCCTTACGCATATATACTCCACTCCACAGCACGTGGGAAGAGCCTCGCGGGGTTCCTTTAGGCGGTCTGTCTCCCTGCAAGAAGTCTCAATCCTCTTTTCGTGCTACTCAAGCGCCCTGCGAGCTCTAGTGCAAAGACACTGCAGGCTTGCTAGTACTCCGCCCGCCAGCGAAGAGGCAGACATCTTCACGCATGTATATTCTGCTTGATGACACGCGGCGACAGCTTAACCAATTTTCCTTACACGGTCTGTCTCTGTACGCAGTTTTAATTCTCTTTTCGCGCCGCCCCGATGACTCGTGGACTACTGAGATACTGCAGCCTCGCTAGCTTGTTACCCTCCAGGATGGAGGCAGACATCTTCACGCCAATATTTTCACTGAATAGTGGGTCGACGGAGCTTCGTCAATATTCCTTCCACGCTGTGTCTCTCTGCACGAGCTTATAGATCCCTTCCCTGGCTCATGCAGATCACCTGCGTAAAGCCGCAGGCAGAACCTTGCAGCCCGGGTGGCTCACCGCTCACCACTGCGGGAGCAGACGTGTCCACGTCTCTACTTTTGGCGAAATGGTACGTGGAGAGAGCTTCGCCTAGTATTCCTTACACGGTCTGCCTCTCTGTTTGAACCAACTTCTGGATCCTTGCAAATGACGTGTGTGTTGCCCCACTGCAAAGACCCTGCAGCCTCGCTGGCTCCCGCCACCAGGATGGAGGCAGACATCTTCACGCCTGTACTTCCGCGTGAATTGTACGTGAAGAGGGATTCGCCTATGTATTTTACACTGTCTGTATGCGCACGAGATTTTGGACCCTCTTCCTGAATCGTGCAAATGACTTGGGCACTTCCAGTGCAAAGACTCTGCAGCCCTGCTGGCTCACCACCCCCTAGGAGAGGCACACATTTCCACGCCTCCGATCTTCACTGAATAGTGCGTGGAAAGAGCTTCGTCAGCTTTCTTCACACCGCCTGTCTCTCTACACGAAATTTCAGATCCGCTTCTTGATTCATGCGAATGACTAGTCTACTATCATTGCAGAGGCCCTGCAGCCGTCCTGGCTCATCAGGGTGGATGCAGACATCTTCAAGTTTGTGTCCTTTTCGCAAACGAGGCTTCACGAGCGCGCACCCGACCCAGTGGTTCGCGTAAGACGCATGTAGCACAATGTAGAAGCTGCAAAAGCGTTGTAGTGGCATCGCGCACACAGGTGGACGCGTCTGAGGCCCTCGCAATAGTACTGGACAACTAATAATGCTGGGCTACTGAGAATACCGGACTACTAGAGATTGAACTTCGGCAAACAACAGGCACCAAACAAACAGACATCACACATGAAACTGACAAACGGTTTTCCAAGCGTGTGATAGGCACGCGCGGCCGGGGGTCCTTTACAGCTGCTGAGGATGACATGTTCATGGACATGTGATTAGACCATTACTCTCACGAGACAGGCGCAGCTTCCTACTGAAGGCTCCTCGTTGTTGATGGATGCGCGTTCGCCCTGTATCAGTATATAATATACGAGCAGCTTCGGGGCTTACGATACAGGCACAGACTTCTGCTGGTTGCCCTCCTGCGAAGACATATACGCGCGTGCCCTATAGAAGTAAACGTGGAGACTCCTCGCTATCAGGAGGCAAACAAACGCTTTGGAGTTTCAGGAGAAGTCTTTACGATAACATTCTCCCTGCATTTCTCTCTAATAACACGTTCGGTCCTAACGAGACACGTACAGCTTTCTGTCGTACGCCCTACTGTCAAGACAGGTACATACTTACCCTGTGGTAGCAGGCAGCGTGCTCACCAGCAGACACACGCACAGTTTTCTGCTGAATGCTCTGCTGTGAAGACAGTGACATCCTTGCACTGTAAAACAAGATAGGGAGCGTGGTCACTGGCAGAAGCAGAAGTACGCGTTTGTAGCGTGGAGTGAGGTCAAGCTCACAAGCCATTTTATGAGAAAGAGTTTGCGTCAATCATCGTGATATAAACTGGCTCAAGACACCCGCGCTGGACGCAGAATCAGGGGGCTTGTAGTGTGGTCATCTTCTAGTCGATGCGATCCGCAAAGTAGTACTGTTGTACCCGCTTGACGAAACGCAGCGGCTGTCCACGACAGCTCGCCACTACGGGAGGTCACGTTGCCCTGGCATCAGCATATACATATACATATATATACCTACATGTACGTATATATACATGTATTCATATACATTCGCATGTATGTATATATATATGTGCGCGCAAACATATACATGTATATATGTATATATACATATATATATGCATATATGTATGAAGCAAGAGCGAAACGGAGGCCCTACGAGATGCACCAAGGGCGCTGCTGAGCACTGGGGCGGTGTAAAGCGTCAACTGCACGTCTGCAAAGAAGTAATCGAGAAGACTCCTGAGTCCTCCTCCATACTTGCTGCGTGTGGCTGCGTATGCGTATACGTGTGCCGACGAGGAACGAGCGCTTAACATTTTGTCCCAGCGCTGTGCTGCCAACAGTTCTGTCACTTGACAAGCGGACTAGTTTGCCTCCGCAAGTACATGCGAAAGCGTACAGTCACATCTCGGTATATGGACACACGCAGCTATGACTAGACCTACGTTTACTACTACGTCCAGACCGACATATGGGCCACGATCGCAGGCTCGTTTCTCGATGCATACGCCCTGTGCATGCAGTGTACATGCAGCTGTACATATTTCAGCGTTTTCATGTACAAAGTACGCACTGGCTTACTTGCCCGCATGTGGAGGGCATACACCAGGCGCACGCCTGTGTACACCAGCCTATATGTTTGTGCAAACATATATATATATATATATATATATGCGCTCCTGTAACCGGTTGCATCTGCGAGTGCGTACAGTACGCCGCGGTTAGCACGCGCGCCCGAGTAAGTCCGCCTTGTGTGCGAGATAAATATGCAACCTCGTGCCCCATTTACAGACATTATCGTATGCATAAAGACATATATATATGTATATACACGTGCTTGCATGCTTAGGTGCATCTATGACACTGTATAAGACGCGGCAGCTGGCGCGCCCGCCCGCGTGAAGTTACGCTTATTATAAACAGGTACGCACCCTTGTACCGCACGCACATGGAAACCCGTATATATAAGCACATGCTCATTGCTAAGCGGCTGCACCGTGGTGTAGGTACGCGGTAGTTCCATCCATGTCATGTCGCAGTTCCCTTTGTGGTCTAAAGAGAAGAAAGGAATCTCTCGTGTATCCTTCCGC